GTTACAACCGAGACTCATTACTTTTGTAGTCAAAATTTCACAGAATGTTCTTATTTCGAGAATTTCCATTTCGTAAGCTTTAATTCCAACATTAAATATTAAAATTTTATACTTGAATTAAATCATGAACATGTGAAGTGTCTTAATGCATCACAAAAATACATGTCATCAAAGTACACATGATATTAGAAAAATTCGTTATCTAATTCGCGTTCATTGTCAGAATTTAAATTGACGAATTTTCCTATCATTAACATTTCTAAAAATCTTCCGCAAATAAATTGCGAATTTATGGGATTAAATACATAGTTCTCTAAAATTAATTTTCAAATTAAACTGGAATTACAATTTTCGTTAAACATGGAAAATCTTTTGTTTTGTTTCTCGCTCATCTTTGAGTTTATCGGGATTGTCTCATTCTGAAAATTCAGACTTCACGAAATTGTATTTTCATATACGATCAATTTCAAAATTTATTATCTCAATCATTAAATAAAATAACTCTTAATATTTATGGTGACACGGTTCAATGAATTAACGGTCATTATCTAAATCTGACTAAATTTATGAATTTATATTAATGAAATTATCAGAGATTGCACTCGTTGACCCTCCATCTGAGACCCCTGCGACACCAACATAGTCGCCTTCCTTTGCTTCTGTTGACTTGCATGGGTTTCACCAGTGGCCCTCCCTTCGAAATCTGGGTTTTTGTCCCCTTTTTTGTATTGTAAAATTAGTTTGTATTTGAAAATTTATTTATTTATAAATTGGAAATTTATTTTTTAGTGAAAAGAATTTGTGTAACCGGTTTGCTTTTTAGTTTATAAAATCAATTTGCATACTGTTTAGAAATTTATATGATTGTAGTAATAGGTTTAATTTTGCAATTATTTTGATGTTTTTTAAGGTAAATTATTGAAATAATTTATATTAGCCCAGTTATAAATAATCTAATGATATCCTAACTACTTTTCAAAGGGAGTTTTGAAAAGTATAAAAATGCAATTTTGTTATTAAAGTGAAAATAATTGTCATAAGTTGTAAAAAAAAAAAAAAAAAAACATTTTTCTCTTATCTATTTTTTCAAAAAATAATCTCCAAAAAAAATATATATATTATTCTTAAGAAAAAATATGTAACAATCATTTTTTTTAAAAAAGTAAGATTTTTTAATGAGAAATTTGTGAAATAAAGGCTAATTTCGTTATTATATAAAATATGAGGTGAGAAATTATATTTTGATAAAAATAAAAGTTGTTTTTATAATTATTTTCATTCTCTTTAGGCTACAATTAAATGTGTAAAATACCACATAGGCCCTCGCTGAAATGTAATGTGAGTCATGGTGGGGAAAAATCAATATGGTATTCAAAGTTTAATTTTGTGATGTCACTATTTTGTGCAAAGTTCAGTATTTATGCAAGAACAATTGCGAAAGATTTATATCACAAAAATATCAGGAAAAACCTTAGATTGTTTGACCCGGAAGTATGGATAGAGTGAGATTTCTGGAGAACTCGCGGATTCAATCAAGCCTTGCATTAAAAACATCATGAAATACACGCGTCAAAATTTTATAGGTTTTGTATAGTCCCACAAAGCCATGTTTCAAGCAACTTTAAGCATACAAGCAATAAAAAAGACAACTTTAAGCATGTAAGCAATAAAAAAGACAACTTTAAGCATAAAAAAAATAATAAAGACAACTTTAATCACATTTATGTAAAATCGATTGTGGCACAAGATTTTTTCTTTTCGCATTTTTTATGGCAAGGAAAAATTTTCTCTCTACCTGTGGGTAGGTTGTTTTAACTATTAGATTTATGGTTTTTTAGCTATTAGGTTTACTTTTTGATGGTTAAGTCAGTGTCCATAATAAAAATGATTAATTATAAAATTTTTTCACCAATTATGATCTTTATAACACTTTATTTTTAAACTTTTATCCTAACATCCGTCTTACTCTGTTAACAAATTTGTCCATTCTATTACTTTGTAGAGAGCAAAAATCTTTTATCATTTTTCAACTAAAGTTGAGATGGGATAAGAGATTTAGACTACAAGTCAGATATTTTCTCCATTTATACTTAATTTTTTTTGGATGTTCTTGTAATTTCTGAAATTGTAATGAATATTTTAAGAAAACATGTTGTATTTTTATAAGTTCCATAGCTTACACAATCTTGCTCAGTTGTGAAATACTGGTGGAATTAATTTGGGATTTTTGTTTCTATGCATGTTGGAAATTTTGTGGAGACGTAATTTTGAAGAGTTTTATTGAAATAGTGGAGACATAATTTTGAAGAGTTTTTGGGGATTTTTATTTAAATATTTTAATTTTGAACCAAAATTTGAGGTTGAACATCTAGTTTAAGCTTTTATGTTGAAAATCTTTCGTTAGTGACCTTGACAATGATAAGATTTACTTCTTGATAAATCATCAAAAACACTTTGAAGAGTCACCTGAGAATTTGGGTATTTAAACTCAAAGCTTCGTCAAAATTTTTTAATTTTTCAATATTTCTCCAACCTTAAAAAACTCTCAGGCTTTAGTTTTGTTTTACTTTACGTTTATCACTCTTTTATGATGGTAATTTAGATGAAAACAAGACATTTTATTGTAATACCGTTTGTTTTTGTGTCACCTGCCACTTAGATGGATATGTCTGTTACTCAAAATAACATAAAGGGTAAATTTATTAACAGAATAAAGATCAAGGATAACAGATGTTACGAATAAAAGTTTAGAGATAAAGTGTTATAAAAATCATAATTTAAAGAGAATTTTTATAATTAATCTTAATAAAAATTTAAAGTGCGCGATGCATTAATGCTTCTAATTACTTATTTGACTGAGAAAAAGTTAATAAAACGGTTAAAAAGCATTTTCAAGGTAAAAAAAAAAAATCTCTTACCATAAATATAGTTTTTTTTTTTAGTAATTCTAAACCTTTACGTAATCTATCTATGACATTACCAGGTATGTAGAAAGACCATATTATTGGAATGTATGATCCACTGTTATTTTCCTGACACTCTGTGAGTTATTCTGCGAGTTATTTTACGACCTGAGAGTGACTTGCATGTGGACTCGCAATCTCAATCACAAGTCAAACACAACCTCAAAAACTTGTATCCACGTGATTTAAAATAAATAAATAAAGAATCACACATTAGCTCTTACAGTGATCCAATATTTTCTTTTCCTGCATGTTTTTTTTTGGATGGATATAGGATCTATATTTTAATCGTTAGATTAATAGATTAGTTTTTTAAAAGTAATCGGTATGTATTGTAAATTATTAATACAGATGTATACAAATTTGACTGTTAAAAATTAATTTAACAGTTTAAAAAAACAATTTTTATTAGTGGAGGAAAATAAAGTTATAAGAGCGATTTCTCTCTCTACCTTATTTCCTCCTCCTCTCTAAAACCTTCCTTCCGGCCAAAACTTTTTAGCTGGAGGTCCAGCATGTCGCCGGGCTTCTGGCTATGAAAATCTCATCCTTAACCTTGCAGTGAGACAATCTACAAGGTTATGGACTTCGTGAATCTAAGGGAGGCAATATTTCGTCAAATCTAAGCCGTGAAGGTAAGAGGTTTTCGGTGATTTTACACGATTTTTTAAGGGTTTTTGTCAGACGTTGGCTCCAAAACTTCAGGGATACACTCAAGGAAGTTACTTGGTCGTGGTGCTCAGACAATCTCCAACTAAGTCTCCTATGTGGGGTTGTGAATTTATGTATTTTTTTTTTGTTTTTTGTTTATGGCTTTGTTGTATTAACGGTAATTGTCTCCCCATCTACCTCTGTCTTATTCTAGCTACAGGGTAGTTTCTCCACCTCTTTGTGTCTGTGGTGTCTCTCTCAGCTAGAGGGTGGTTTCCTCATTGCTCTTAATCCGAGTTGTGTGTTTACGGTCCATTATGGGATTAGGATCTAGCTCATTTCGAGTCATTTTTGTGGTCGAATCTAGTTATAGCGCCACTATTTGGAGTACCCTCTGTTGTTAGATTAAGGGGACGTTTGTTTACTGTATTCGTCCATAATTCTGAATCATGATTTATGATTCATGATTCTCTACCGTGTTTTTCTCTCACAAAAAACACACGTAAAATGAAAATGATTCTGAATCATAATTCTGAATCCATGAACGAAACGTCCACTAAGTGTATGTTTTAATGCATAGTTATGTGAATGACACTCATTTCTATGATTTGATGTTATCATGTATCCTAATCTTCTAGTGACTTTTTAATGAATTGTCGCATTTAAAAAAAAAAAAAACATTATAAGATTTTTTTTTTCAACATTAAAATGAAAAATGATTTGTTACAATTCACTAAGCCCGAGAGCGCAGAGTAATTATAAGCCCAACGAGAACCAACAACAAATATCCTTAAAAAATAATCCAACTTTCCAATAGCCGTTTGAAATTTGTAGATCGAGCTAATTAGAAACTGTCCACTCTTAGAGCCCGTTTAGTTCGCTGATTCGAATTTATAATTTGAGTTGAGATGTAATTTTATATAAGAGCTTTTACTATAGTAAAAAAGTTAAACGTGACTGTTGAACTTTTTACTATAGCAAAACTTAAATTGGTGAAGCGAACGAGGCCTTACAAATTACAAGGGTACCCAAATTTCATAATCCACACTTTTCCAGTTTAAAATGTTGCAAATGTAATACAGCTTTCCAAAATTGTTATCAATCCAATTCTATCAAAAGAATCCGTACAACAATTGTTCTGCCTTCCTAAAGCTAATTCCTCACAAAGTTTCCAATATGAGGTTGTACAAGCTCCATGTTTTTCCCTTCTCTTCTATACTTGATTCACTTTTTTTTTTTCTTGCTAAACGAGACGTAATATTAATATAAAGCCAGAAAAGGCTAGAAGTACAAACGGAGGGACAAAGCCCATATAACAACAACCGGAATAGTAACCAGAAAAGCCATACCAGTTAGAGCCAAGGTCCGCAACGACCAACGAGACATCACTCAGGTAATTAGCCCGCTTGGAGAATGCCAGAGCGACCCCCTATCCCATGAACGGAGAAAATCTCCTACAAAGGGTGGAGTGAAAGCAAGTTTCGCCCACTAGACAAGATCTAGCTAAATAACATGAAAGACATCACTCAGGTAATTAGCCCGCTTGGAGAATGCCAGAGCGACCCCCTATCCCATGAACGGAGAAAATCTCCTACAAAGGGTGGAGTGAAAGCAAGTTCCGCCCACCAGACAAGATCTAGCCAAATAACATGAAAGATGCAATATATTTTCATCTTCAGGATCTTTTACAGTAACCTTTCAGCTTTGCTTGCATTTCGGATTCACAAACTAGCAGAAGACTACTTAATTAACTAAATAACAATCCAATTGGCGGGTTTCTATGCAGCAAAGGAGAAGACACTCGTCAACAACTTCGTACCTGGTAGAGGTCCTATTGGCCACCATTTTCATCTGCACAAGAGATTGTATTTGCGTCAAATAATTCCTTATCTGTATAGAGGTATCCATCCTCTCGAGGCTTATAGTCCCTTCCCCTCCAGACCACAATCTGCTCCTTTTCAAATGTAACTAGAAAACAAGGCACCAGATCCTGTATCAACACTGAAATAAATTTAAAAACTGGAGGAAAGGTGGAACAATGGTTGAAATATAGAGCTGTAGGCTATAGAATATTAGGACTTCAAATTCAGATGATGCGTTTCTACAACAACGTAAATACTAAATAATTAAATCCATGCCCTATGTGAAGATCCTCCTGTTCGGGTTTGAATTTGAGGGAAGGCAAGATAAACTAGGAGGGTCTTTCCTAATTAGGGGCCGTTTGGCATTGTTTTTAGATGCTGTTTTAGCTTTTTTAAGAAGCTACAAGATGTTTAGTAAGTCACGTTTTTGTCTAGCAACTTCTAAAAACTATTGCCAAACATTAGAACTTAAAAAGCATGTCAGGGGTAGCTTTTGCAAAGCAGCTTATGCTGTCATTATCAATTTCTTAAAATAATCTTAATAATAAAACTTAATTACCAGTTTACCAAATGTAACATTTTCCACAACAAATTAAAAAATATTTATTTTAAATATTTATTTAAAAATTAAAAATCTTTGTTAAATATACCATCCTAAATATTACTCAATAATCAAACAAATATTTAACAATAATAAATGAGAAATTTAGTACATGTATAATAAACGTAATTTATTTCCTAGAAATATGTAAAATGATATGTATGCTAAAGTATTTCTATTTTAGTCATACATTTTCATAATATTTTTACACATGATATGTATGCTAAAGTATTTCTATTTTAGTCATACATTTTCACTATTTTTACACAGTTTACCAAACATCTAAACTTTTGCTTCAATATTCACAGCAGCTATGAAAAAATTTACCAAACACCTACATGTTTTTTGTTATAGTAACTTCTGACTAATAGTACAGCTACACAAATTTTCAATTGCACAACAATGTCAAACTGGACCTTAGTAAGAAGTGAACTATCAGAATAGTGCAGCTACTGCTGCGTCACCTAACATGCAATTGAATCTCCTTATACCCTCATTCACCCAAAAAAAAAAAATAATAATAATAATAATAACAATAATGAAAATAATAAAATAATCAGATAAAAGAACCCTCCTTGTACCCTTAAACTAGGGAAATGGAATTCCTGGGTCTAGGCGTGGTTGAAAATCTGTATGCCCAACCAAAGGGTGGGGTTCAAAGCAATTTCATAGTACAAATCGGTATAAAGAAGTTCACACGAACTATGGAGATGAGAAAATTTAAAAAACAGAACTTAATGACGTACTCTAGTTTCTTAATTTAAAATAAAGGTTTTTTTGCATGGGTACCCCTGAATTTATCGCTGTTAGAAATATCAAGTTAGTTAGGTGGTTAGCCATAGAATACGTGCTTCTTGGTTAGGTCCTTTAATTATGAAGTTTGTTATGTAAGTTCCTAGATTTATGCTATGTTAGTTATTACTTCCATTCCTATGTACGACTATTTAAGTCTCAAGTGATTGAATAAAAGATTACCGAAATTTATTCATAAAACTTTCATGGTATCAGAGCCTAGGCTCTATAGAAACACAAAAAAACTGTGATGGAGAAAACCGGTGCTGGAAAACCAACATGGTCGGAGGTCACAGCAAAAACTTCGGGGATAGTTTCTACGACTACAACAAGCAGCAGTGCTGACCAACTAGGAGCAGCCATGTCCTTGCAAATTTCCGTTCACAAGTTAAACGGAAAAAACTATTTGGAATGGGCACAATCGGTCCAGCTCGTTGTTGATGGTCGAGGGAAATTGACATCTGACTGGAGAAGAAAAGAACCCAGGGGAGACAGATCCACACTTCAAGACATGGAGATCGGAGAACTCATTGGTGACTGCATGGCTTCTCAACTCGATGGAACCAGTAATTGCCAAGCCTCATATGTTCCTACCGACAACCAAGGAGGTGTGGGATTCAATCCGGGAGACATTCTGATCTCGAAAATTCATCTCAAATTTTCAAAATAAAAACAAAACTTTGGCAAGCAAAGCAAGGAGATCGAGACGTGACGGAATTCTACAACGAAATGGTGACATTATGGCAAGAACTAGATCAGTGTCATGATGATCAATGGGAAAATAGCCAAGATTGTGCGAGATTCAAGAAGAGAGGAAAATGGTCGTGTTTACATGTTCCTTGTAGGTGTGAATAAGAATCTTGATGAAGTCAAGGGGAGAATTCTCGGACGAAGGCCACTACCATCCATCCGAGAGGTTTTCTCAGAAGTCAGGATAGAAGAAAGCAGAAGGAAGATCATGTTGGCAATACTGCACTGGCTAACAGATCTGAACAAGAAGGATCTGCACTGGCTGCATGATCAACAGAAGGAGACCAAGACAAAAGAAAAAAACCTTGGTGTGATCACTGCAAAAAGTTCTGGCACACCCGTGAGACATGCTGGAAGATCCACGGTAAGCCACCAGGAGGAAAGAAGCGACCTGAAAGAGCTCTTCAGACCGTGACTGAAAATTCTCAAGAACCACAAGTTAACTCGGGATCGTCTCCGTTCACGAAGGAACAATTAGAACATCTTGTTAAATTGTTTCAATCTCCACAATTTTCTGGTAGTCCGTCTTGTTCCTTTGCTCAAAATGGTAATAGTCCTGTCCTTTCTTTCTCATGTGTCAAATCCAATTGTTCTTGGATTATTGATTCTGGGGCAACTGACCACATGACGGGTTGTTCAAGTATTTTTTCATCCTATAAACTGTGTGTAGGAAATAGAAAAGTTAAAATTGCAGATGGCTCTTTTTCAGCCATAGCTGGAATAGGAACTGTCAAAATTTCACCATCGTTTATTCTTTCCAACGTGCTGCATGTTCCTAATCTAACCTGTAATCTTGTGTCCATTAGCAAATTAACTCATGACTTAAAATGTCATGTTAATTTTTTCCCGTCTCATTGTGAATTTCAGGAAATGGTCTCGGGGAAAATGATTGGCAATGCTAGATGAATGCAGTTTAAATAAATTTGCCTTACTTTATTAATCGAAAGAAAGTTCACTTAAATAGACTAGGGCTTGAATACCGAGTCCATTATCTTCTCTAAGATAATCTATCCTATTTGAATTCAAATACTAATTGATAATTCCTAATCCAAATAACCGGAAATAATAAAGATAACTATTTGACTTATTCAACCTATCTCTAAAAGACATTATCTGCTAACACTCCCCCTCAAGCTTGGCCGTAGATATCAATAAGCCTAAGCTTGCCTACAAAGTACTCGAACGTTGGTCTAGAAAGTCCTTTGGTGAGTATATCCGCAACTTGTTGTCCTTGTAGGAATGTACTAAATGCTGATGATTCCCTTCTCTAGCTTTTCAGTAATAAAGTGTCTATCCACCTCCACATGTTTGGTTCTGTCATGATGGACTGAGTTGTGTGCTATGCTGATAGTAGCCTTGTTATCACAGTAGAGCTGCATAGGAAACTCACAACTGATCTTCAACTCTTCTAGCAACCGTTTCAACCAAATTGCTTCGCAGATGCCATGAGCCATGGCTCTGTATTCAGCTTCAGCTCAGCTTCAGCGCTGCTTCTTGCTACTACAGATTGTTTTTTATTGCGCCAAGTCACCAAGTTCCCCCAAAGGTGTGTGCAATATCCGGATGTTGATTCCTATCTTCGACAGATCCGGCCCAATCGACATCAGTGAAGATTTTCACTCTCCTGTTTTCTTCTTTTCCAAAAAATAATCCTCTTCCCGGAGTCTTTTTGAGATCTCTCAATATACGATAAATAGCTTCGAAGTGTCCTTGGTGCAGTATGCATTTGTTGGCTTACCACACTAACTGCAAAGGCGATGTCCGGTCTTGTATGCGAGAGGTATATCAGTTTTCCCACTAGCCGTTGATATCTTTCTCTATCAACCATCTTTCCACCAATTGCTTTTGCCTTGCCTCCTTGTTCAATTGGAGTTTCTATCTGTTTGCACCCCAGCATACTCGTTTCTTGCAATAGGTCTAGTGTATACTTCCTTTGTGATATAAAGATCCCACTTTTGCTTCTTGCAACTTCCATTCTCAAGAAATATCTCAGTGTACCGAGATCTTTAACTTCAAACTCCTCAGCCATCAACCTTTTAATTCTCGTCATTTCTTCAAATTGTCCCCAGTAAGTATTATATCATCTACATATACTATTAGGACTGTGATCTTTCCATCTGATGAGTGCTTAACAAACAACGTGTGATCGGTTTGTCCTTGTGAGTATCCGTGGCTTTTGATCACCTTTGAAAATCTATCAAGCCATGCGCGCGGAGGCTGTTTTAGTCCATATAGTGATTTCTTCAGCTTGCACACCATCTTGTTTCTCTTACCCTCTTCAAACCCGGGTGGTAGGCTCATATACACTTCTTCCTCCAATTCACCATTTAAAAAAGCATTCTTCACGTCAAGTTGAACCAGAGGCCAATCCAGATTTACCGCTAATGATAAGAGGACTCTTATTGTGTTGAACTTTGCAACTAGGGCAAATGTCTCAGTGTAAACGATTCCATAGGTTTGTGTAGAACCTTTTGCAACGAGCCGTGCTTTGTACCTTTCTATTGATCCATCCGGCTTGAATTTGACAGTGAATACCCATTTGCATCCGACCACACTCTTGCCTTGTGGTAGTTCAACCACACTCCATGTGTTATTTTTCTCGAGCGCTTGCATCTCTTCAAGTACTGCGTTTTTCCATTCAAGAACAGCTAGAGCTTCTTCTATTGACTTGGGAATATTGACACTAGACAACTTTGTGGTGAAGGCACGAAAACATGTAGACAAATTATCATATGACACAAATTTGGATATGGGATGTTGTGTACATGTTCTAACACCTTTCCTGATGAGGGCAATTTGTTCTTTGCTAAACGGAATGGAGGTCTCTATCTTCTAGATGAAAGATCTCAATCGAATAAAACAGTCCAAGGAACTTGTTTGAAGACTTCCGTTTCTAGTGACAATGAGATATATTTGTGGCACTTTAGATTAGGTCATCCTAGTTTTTATTATTTGCAACTTATTTCCGAATCTATTCAAGAATAA